CTTGGAGCCCCCGCAGGGGGGCTGTCATTCTAGGGCAGGGGTGCTTGGGTGCCGCTGCCCTTCGCTGGCCGGCTCGTCGTGGCTCCTGGCTGGCAAAGGAGGGCGGCGGGCGGCTCCCGTGGCCGTGGGTGCCCCTGCTGAACTGCCCCCCCCCCAGAGGAGGGTGGGATCGGCTGCCCTGCTGCGTTGGGTGGCAGCTGCCGGACAAGGTGACCGGCGTGCCTTGCCGGGCGGCTTGCGGTGCCGTACCTGTGCCAGCCGGAGCCCTCCTCCCGGCATAGTCCTCGTGCCTCTGTGGCGGGCGGGGAGGGGGGCAGCAGCTGGGTCGCCTTTCGCTGGTCTCCGGCCAGCGCCGCCCAGGCTCTGAGAGGCTCCTTCCCTCCCCAGCAGCCGAGCGCAGGGCTGTGTGCCGGGCGGGTGGAGCGGAAGGTGCTTGGCCTGCCGCGTCCTGCGGGGAGAGCCGGGGAGCTGGGTGGCGGCACCATGGCACAGTTGCAGAGGACCTGGGGGCGTATCTTGCGGCCCCCGTCTTCGGGGAGGGGGGCAGACGGAGACCAGAGCAGCCTTCCCCTACCCGGCGCCGTCCAGATGTGCTGGACCGCAGCTCCCGTGGGCAGCGTGGCCCGTGGCGGGGCACCTGGCGTGGCCCGCAAAGCACGAATCATTCCGAGATTCGGGGCAGCCAGGATCCGGCCTCCCCACCCGGCTCGTGGAGCTTTGGCAGGCCGTGTGGTCGTCTTGGGGCAACAGCCGTGATCTGACTGTGATTATGTGAACGGGTTCCCACAGCTTTGGGGAAAGAGATGGGGCTCTTTCCGAGCTGCAGCTGGGGCCTGTAGTGCCTCCCCGTGCGCTCACTTGGAGCTTACTTCTAGAAAGCGTCATCCGTAGGAAGACAACCCTGTGCCTCAGCAGGCCTTCTGACTGGAAGCAAGTCTCCCCAATCCAGGGACTCATGCAGAGAAGCAACATGCAGCCTCCCCTCAGAACCAAGAATTCCGCTCTGTCTGTACATTAGACATGAATGACTCTGTCACATGTGATGCAGGGGCATGGCAGAGTGACCCGCCTGCAGTGGAGGCTGACTGGAAGGAAGCAAGGCCTGAGCAGTGTCTCTCACAGAGATACGACAGGAGGACTCCTCTCAGGACAGCTGCTTCTGCTCTGCCTCTGCATCAGCTGCATGAACTACCTGGTTTGTGCATGGCAGAGAGAGAGCAAATCACTGGCCCACAACTGGAAGGGGATGAGCCCAGGGCAGTGACTTGGGCAGAGATGCAGGAGGAAGACTCCTGTGGGCGGCTGCTGGAGCACCGAATTATTCCCTGCAGTCTGTTAGTACCACTTCTGGGGCCCTCTGGTTTTGGTACATGGTTCCAAGTGCCTTCTCTTGGCCCATCTCCTTCCCTTTTTCTTCCTCCTCCTCATGCATGTGTAGCTTGAAGGAGTCAGTTCCTTGGGTGTAAAAGAAAAGTTTCATGTTGAAAGCAGAACACACTTACGGACTTTTTAAATGAAATGTTTGCATTTCCTTGCAGACTTTGGGGCTTGGGCTAAAGCCATCCTGACCAGAGAAGCAAATGAAGTTATCTCCGGCAGAGCTGAAATTTTGGTGGGTGGGGGCTCCTTTAGCTATGCAATTGCCCCGGGGCCATGGGGGAGTTCTGGGGGGGAGGCACAGGGGCAGCTCAGCGGGTCCTCGCTTTTGCTCATCTCCTCGAGGGGTGTCCAGGTCACAGGCACCACTGAAAGGGAAGGAAGCGCTGGATACTCAGACTAAACGATCAGTCATCATCCTGGTCGGTCACTGATTTTTCAGCCACTTGGCACAGAAGGGGGGCTTGCGTGGCCTGCTGGTGGGAACTCTGGACTGGGGGCTTGGATGGGCCGGGCACTTGGCTGTGAGGCTTACTGGGGGATTCTGGGGCAATTGCTCTCCACCCTCACAGCGCTGCTTGTGGGGACGACAAAATGGAGAGAACTGTGTAAGCAAGCTGGGCTTCCTTGCAAGAGGAAGGACGGGAGGAGTAAAACATCAATGTAGCGATAAAGAGCCCTTGTTTTTGGAGTACTTAATGCCCCACGCAGGGAAGCTGCTTGTGCTGCGATGCTGCAGTTTGTTTGGGGGGCGGGGGAGACGCTGAGCGTTTGCGGGTGCTCTTCTCTGCGCCCAGCACCCTCAGGATTGCCTCCACTGACGCCCAGGCCTGTGGTGTATTTTAAACCTGGCTGACATTCCGAGCTGCATTGTTTGTGGGTCATGCTGAAAGTGTGCTAGCAATGTGGGCCCCGGTTCCCGCACTGAGATGCCAGGTCCGCCCTGATCCCCGATCAGCAAGCCGCTTTCAGATAAGCTCTTTTAATCTCCCAGCAGAAATCCCCTGACACAGTTCAGCAGGGTCCTTCATGCTGCCCTGCGCCCTCAGCTGCAGAGCTTCCACTCCCGTGTGTACACAGGCCTGTGTGTCTGCTTTGTGTCTGCTGGGAATGCCGACGATTCCATAAAATGGGAGATTAAGTGCTGAACTTAGTTTCTGGAGAATCTCAGGTTTTAAAAATTTGACGAACCAAATTTCTAGTCCATGTGGTTACAGAACTCTGCTTGAAAGTAAGTGGTAGTGCCTGGTCACATTTCCAAAGTCAGAGCAGTTGTTGATTCAAATATCCTCTGATCAAAATGGTCATGGGATCCAGCTGTTACAGAGGGTCAATTTGTATTGCAAATCGTGCCTTAGTTCTGTTCAGGCAAACATTCGATCTCCACATGTTTTAGAAGTCCACCTCCCGGCATTGCTGAGCACTGGCCATGCTGGAGGTGGGGGCAGCTTCTGGGATTTAAGCCCCCAAACGCCTGGAGGTGGGCTGCCCTGGAAAGCTCCTTTCTCTTTCACTGGGGAGCAAAATGGCATAAATTATGGAAGATAGAAAGGATAGTAGATGGCAGAGCGGAATCATGGAAATACTCTTATGCTTGTGGTAGAATTGACTGTTTCAATTTTGAAACAGGATTTTGCTTTCTCTGGTGCAGAAAATAGCTCTGAATGTTTCTTACTTCCAGAATCCATCCAGAATATGTCCTTTTCTAAAAAGCAGGTTTCTAGCAGTCAAGTATTTCCAAAAGGTGAATGTTCGTGGGATGGTGTTTTTGTGCTCTGCGTGGTCATGTGCTCCCCTCCCATGACCTCTGGTCGCTTCCTTTGTGAGAGATCCCCACGGAACTGTTCTGTGGCCCCACTGCTCGTTCTGCCCTTTTCCTCAAGCTCTGCAGAGAAATGGAAAAATTCCATTTCTGCCAGTAATAGGAGGCCTTGATGAAAGCAGGATGGCCAGATTTTGTGTTCTCAGAAGCTGGATATATTTTGCTGCATACACTGACCCTCTGCAGTAGCTGGTCCCCATGATACCTTGGCTTTTAAAATCAGATCTGTGTCTTTGCCTGGCCAAATCCCCACCGAGGGAATGCACAGCAACCTCTGGGGCACTTTTACAGATGGCAGAATCCTAACTTCTCTTAGTGCAGCGCAGCTGACATGGAATCATAGAACAGGAGAGGTGGAAGGGGCCAAGGAAGCCCCGGGTCCAGCCCCCTGCTGTTGCAGGACACCAAGTCACACCATCCCACTCAGGTGGCTGCCCAGTTTCTCCTTGAACGTCTCCAGTGTGGGAGCGCCCACCACCTCTCTGGGCAGCTGGTTCCACTGTTGTATTGCTCTGACGCTGAGAAAACTTTTCCTGATGTCCAGCCTAAATCTGGGTTGTCGCAGCTTGAACTGACTATTCCATGTCCTCCACTCTGGCATTAGCAAGAAGAGATCTTGACCTTCCTCTTTGTGACAGCCTTTGGGGTACTCATAGAGGGATCTCTTGTCCTCCCTCAGTCTTCTCTTCACAAGGCTGAACGTGCCCAGTTCTCCCCGTCTCTCCTCCAGGGCAGTGTTTCCAAACCCTGGATCATTATTGTTGCCCTCCTCTGGACCCTTTCTAATTTTCTTGAATCTTTCTTAAATCTTGGTGCCCAGAACTGGACACCGCATTCCAGGAGATGTCTGATGAGTGAGGCGTAAAGGGTAGTATCCGCACCCACAGCCTCAGGGGCCGATCTGCAAAGCTTCCCTTCCAGGCTTGTCTCATGGAGGACTCACAAAGGTGTCCCTCGCAGAGCCTAAGGCAGGAAGGGCACACCAGCAGCCCTGGCTCAGCTGCTGAGTTTGTCTTCTGCACCAGGTACAGCCTGGAGCCTGCCCTTCGGCCTCCTGAGCCCTAAATGTTTTGCCTGTCCCCACCTGCCTTGCCTGAGTCCATCTTCGATGGCCTGCATAGCCCTGGGACCAGAGGTACATTTGACGCTCGTGTGGGCAAGAGTCTTCATGGCCCAGCCTGTGGAACTGCTGGCCAGGAGACCTGGGTGGTGTCCTCCTTGGTGAACTTTTCACACCTTTTAAAAGCACGCCTGCTCTGGCAAGCAATTTTCGGTCTCCTTGGTTGAGTTGCTTTGGCCTTGTGTTTGCCCGGGCTGTGCCTGTGTTCTGAATTAGGTTTCTGATTGAAAATTTAGATTGTTCTGTGAATGTTTGGAATGCGGCCACCAGCACATCTCCTGAGCTGACTTTGGCCTTGGGCTGAAAGTGGTTCCCCCAAACCCTGCTTGTGGGGGACCCAAGTGTGTGCTTGGCTTTGCAATTGGGAAGCATCATGGTGCACTCAGATTCTAGCCGCAGGCCGTGCGCCTCCAGAGCACTCCAGCGAGGGGTGTGCTCTGGAGTGGGCAGAAGATCCAGCGAGTGCCTCTTGCGTGGGCAGGGAGCTGGCAAGCCGCATCGGGAGCTGGGATCGGGTTGCTCGATCCACACACCTTGCCTGCCTGTGGACGGGCTGGTCCCACGGCAGGCTCTGGCTTAGCCGCTGAGCAAGTGCTGCCGTCACGGTACAGGAATCCCCGGGCGGCTGGGCCGGGGCTGCCGAGGGGCCGCAGCCGGATGAGCACTGCCGTTCTGTTTCAGATGGATGCCGAGCGGCCGGAGCACCCCGAGGCGGGGGAAGTGGCGCTGCCGAACGGCACAGGGAAGGAGAGAGCCCAGGCCCAGGAGCTGCGCCAGCAAGGGCGCCGGAGCGCCGAAGACCTGGGCAAGATCGAGGACGAGGAGGTGCTGGACAAGATGGTACGTGGCAGCTGGGGGCTTCCTGTGGTGGTGGTGGTGGCTTTATGCAGCGTGCGGCCCCTGCCAGGAGGGGGCGGGCAGGTCTAGGTGTGTCTGCAGCACAGTGGGCGAAGGGGTAGGGCCGCGAGTTGGGTCACCGCCTTGCTGGCACTGCTCAGGTCTGCTTTTGCTCTCTTTTTGAACCGTGCGCCCTGGTGGTGCAGAGGTGGAACAGGTGTGGCCGAACTTTCTGGTGGCCAGACCACTTTCCTTTTGAGCAAAGTCCGCAAGAACTGGGCCCCTTTTATCGGGGGAAAGGGCAACTCATGCTTGCGGGGACTCAGCTGACCTATGAAGTTTTGGATAGGATGAGAAAGTGGGAAGAGAAAAGTTTCTCTTCCGTTCATACTATCTAAAGCCACCAAACGGGCAAATTGAAAGAGGTCTTCATTAACTGACAGAATTTCCAGCCCCCGAATCTGGGGTTGCCACCAGTTTAGCCACCCTTAGAAAGGAATTTGATGACTTCCTGCAAGAGGATAAAGCTGTGCATGGTGCAGCAGAACCTCCATGGCCAGAGGCAGTGTATCTGTGTGCCAAGCTCTGGGGGAGCAGTGCTGGCTGTTGCCTTTATGCTCTGCTTCTTGGCTTCCCAGAGGCATCCGGGTGTGCTGTGGGAGGCCAATCAGGAGAGATCCTCTTGGTCTGATCTTGGGGAGCCCTCCTGTGGGGCCTGGGGCCAATAGGACCGCAGCCTTGCTTAGAAAAGCCTTGAGTTCAGATGGCACTCCATCTTCAGCAAAGGGGCACTGGAAATCCACCCCCCGCCCTGTGCAGCCAGCAAGGGGAGAACCGCATGAGCTGCTTTTTACGGTCAGAAAAGTGACCTAGGAGGAGGAGGAGAGAGGGCATTTGGTGGGCAGGGAGGGGAAAGGACCAGGGTCTCCATCAGCTTCCTCCCCCACTGCTCGAAAGGCCCCTCGCCAAATGGGCTGAAAAGCCTGCCTGGCGGAGGTGGAGGCACGTCCCCCGCACGGTTCCCCCTGCTCTGGCAGCTGCTGCCCAGCGAAGCACAGAAGTCGTGCAAGCCCCGAACGCGGAGCTGGCACCGTGCCGACGCCGAGGAGGGAGGGCTGCCGGCTCAGTGTCCTTGTGGGCAGCGGAGGCGGCCTGGCGCCCCCAGCACGCCAGCCGGCCCACCACGAGTCGAGCGGTGCTGCGGGGCATGGCGCCCCCACCCTGGGCGCCCAGCCTGCCTCAGGGTCCCTGTGGCATGGCGCCCGGGTGCGGGTGGGCCAGCGAGAGCTTGGCGACGGCTGCAGCACCCCGAACGGGCCCACGGGCTCTGGGAGGGTTGTCGGACATTTGTGTAATCCCTGCTTGCGGGGTTCGCATGGCGAAAGGGGGCGGACGGGGCAGGTGTCACGGGTCACTGTGTGTTGAGAGACCTAGCTGAGCTGCACTGTGTTGTGGTACCAGGTCAGAGCGTGTGCGTGTCGGGGAGCCTGCGGGGTCCCCTCTCACGCCTCAGTTCTGCCCCTGCAGCTGGATCAGACCACAGACTTCGAGGAGCGGCGGTTGATCCGGGCAGCCATGCGGGAACTGCGCCAACGGAAGCGAGGTACCCACTGGGGGGGCGCCCTGGGGGGGAGCAGGAGGGTGTTCGGAAGAGTCCCGTGCTGTTCCTGGCCGGAGGGGTTCAGAACCACACGGCAGGAATCTGCTGGGTTATAGTTCCCATCATTTCTCGGCCTGCACAGCTGGGGATGATAGGAACAATACTGCAACTCCTCTGCAGGATGATATCTTCGGGAAGGCTGACCCGTCCTAAAGGAGCAGGACAGAACTGGGTTGAGGGTCAGGTGGGGAGAAAGGGATGGCGTCCATGACGGGGTGCAGCAGGGGAGATAGCCCCAAAGGAGGGACGTTGGAAGAGGAAGGGAGAGGTGACCCATCGCAGCTTGGTAGAGCCTCCACGCACAGCAGCAGCGTTGCATGAAATGCCAGGCACCGGGGACAGACGAAATGGGGAGACCGTGATGAGGAGCTTCCAGGAGGCATCAGTCCCGAGAACGGAAGGCTGGTTCAGCGACCCGCCTTTGAGTGCCTCCTGCTCCTTCGCCTTGAGAAAGGACCGATTAGAAGGTCATGTTTTTCTCCGGCTCACCAGCTGATTTCCGCCCTCTGGTCCTGCTAAAGACACAAGACCCGCCCGCCCTGTTTTTCAGGCCAGTTGGCAACCCAGGTGCTGGGCTGGGTGGATGGCGGCCGCCCCCTCTAAGCGGGACCGCGCCTCACTGGCTGGCGTCGGAAATGCGCCTCCCTCTTGGTTGTGTGACAGGGGCTATGAAAGGCGGTGGAGAGGGAAGGGGGACGGGGGGGTGCCCAGCTGGGTAGGCAGACGACCTCGCTCACCCGGCTTCTGGAAAGCCCACCAGGACCACCTTGGGCCTTTCCGCTTGCACAAAAATCTCCCACAGGTGACCTCGAAGCGCCTGCTCTTCTTTCAAAACGCACGTGCGATGCGGCGGGGTGAGGCCCTGCCTGGCTTGGGACGGTGCCCTTGCCCTGCTCGGGGCGGCCGTGCCTGTTGGCCCCCGGGAGAAGCTGGCAAGGAGGGGAGCCGGCAGCACTGGCCACGCTCGCAGGGGCCACCGCTCCGTGGCAGTGCCCTGCTTGCGTGCAGGAGGTCCCAGTTTCGATCCCTATCCTCTCCAGAAGAGGCTGGCAACTCCTGCCTGTATCCCCGGAGAGCTGCTGCCAGTCAGTGCTGGTAATACTGGGCTCAGCATGTCCCACAGTCTCACTCTGTACAGCCTGTTTCCCCTTTCCTTGCTTCAGGCATCCCCTTATTAAGAATCATGAGGACTAGCACCCTTTGTTTTTAGGGAGAGGACTATAGTTCAGTGATGGAGCACCTAAGCAGAAAATCCACAATTCAATCCCTGGCATCTCCAGGCAGGCCTGGGAACAAATCCAGCCTGGAATCCTGGAGAGCTGCTGCTGCCAGTCAAAATGGCACTGTTTTTGCAAGGAAGAATTGGAATGAAATGCGCATGATGCAGGAATGGTGCCTAGCCTTGACCAGGTGAGGGGGTCTATTCCTCCTGGGGTCTATTCCTCCAGGGGGTCTATTCCTCCTGACGTGGGCAGGTGCCATTTGCTAGGGATACAGGAGAGTGCCGTTTTCTGAAGGGAATTCACGTGGTATACGCTGTACTTTGAACCTGGTACAGAAATCCAGCGTGCTGATTATGAGGGGACCGGGGAGTCTAGTTGTGTCTTGGGCCTGTTCAGGCAACTTCGGCCTGCTTGGCCCCTGCCGTGTCACTGCTTGCTCTGTGTTGGACAGGGATCTGTCTGCCATCCGCAGCCCCCCAGCTCAGGCAGCTGAAAGCAACCCCCGTTCCGTCACCTCAGCCTAACCTACCTTACCGGGTTGTTGCAAAGGTGCAGTGGGGTGGAGCAGGAGCTGCGGGGAAAGAGGGCCGGGCACAGTGCCCTGGACTCTTGGGGGAGGGCTGGGAGGCCCATGCCAGGAGCTGACTACCGGGGGTGGACGGGTGGACGTGGGCCCGTTACAGGGGCACCCCCGCAGCGGTGCCGGTGCCAGGCGGCACCCCCCTTTCCCCCTCCTCGCCTCTTTGGCCTGACCTCTCTGGACTTGTGCCTTGCAGAGCAGCGGGAGAAGGAGCGCAGCCAGCTGCTGCAGGAGGCCAAGGCGAAGGAGGCCAGCCGCACCACGGAGACCACCTCCCGGCAGAGCGCCGTGTCGGCGGATGGCTCAGCCGTCAGCACGGTCACGAAGACGCAGCGCCTCGTCCAGTCCAGTGAGCGCTGGCTCGGAAGGGTGGGGAGAGGCGGGTGGCTTTGTGGCAACGCGCTGGCACTGCGGAGACCTTTGCCCCGAGTGCCCCGTTGCCCAGGGCGGGCAGGTGGGTGCACAGCTTCCCCCGGTGGCCCGCCAGCTCCCTCAGCCCAGGATCCTCGCTCGCCGCCTCTTCTCCCTGGGGGAAGAGAGCTCTTTCGTCCTTTCCGCTCGGAAGAAAGAGCCAAGCCGTTCTCTTTGCCTGGGAGTCCCGCAACCCACTCGTCTCTTTCTCGCGCGGAACCTCCGCACCCGCCTGCTCGGGGCACTCCCTCTCTGCCCCACTCTGCTCTGCCTCCTTCAGCCACTGCAACAGCCGCCTCCTGGCAGGGTGGAAGCCTCTTTCCTTAGCGGCGTCCTCGGCACCATCTTCTCTTCTCCACGTTGCCAGCTTTTCTTCCGGGCCCCGGGCCCCGGGCCCTGCTCGGCTTTGCTGTGCCTCTGAGCCGACTTCCACTTGGCTCCGGGACCTCGCCTTCCATGCCAAAGCAGGGCAGGAATGCAGCTCGGGGGCACTGCTTTTGGCACCTCCAAAGGGGCCAAGACCCTGGGAAACTGTTCCTGGTTAGGGTAGGCAGCCTTCCCCCAACCTGGCGCCTGCCCGTTGTGCTGAATGGGGGCCGATGGGAATTGCAGTCCAACACATCTGGAGGGCACCGAGTGGGAAAGCTGAGTGAGGGTTTGGCCAAGGCAGCTCCTTGTGCCCCGCAAGGACGGCACAGTCTGGCAGCGGAGCAGCTTCCTCGCGAGAGTGAGGGGCCCTCCTCCCCATCGTCCTCAGTCCGAGGCCGGGCAGGCATGAGGCAGGATGCTCTTGCCCTGCATCCCTTGCACCTGAGCAGGAGGTGGATGCAGCAGCCTCCCTCCAGCTCCCGTGTCCCGCTCAGGTGTGCCACGTCCAGGAGCGAAGCATCTTTCTGCCAGTTGCATTTGCGAGGGGGCACTGGGAAGCAGACCCACCTTTGTTCCAATGGTCCGCCAACACCCTCCTCACGTTCTTTTGTTTCCCGTGTCAGATGACGGCAGCAAAACGTCCCGCATGACGACGATGGAGTCGAGCTACGTGAAGAGAGGGGGAAGTAAGCCCACCTTGTGCTTTTCACCTGAAAGGGGCCGCGGGGTGGGGTGGGGGGCTGGCAGGGCCATCTGAATGCATGGGCTTGATGGGCACTTGCCCGTGGGCCCCTTACTAATCTGTGTACGTTAACCCTTGGAAAATTGGAAAACCTCCCAAGTCAACAGCAGCTGTAGTTGTCCTGGGGGCCCCAGTGCGCCGCTTTGCCCGGGGCCCGTGATGCTGTTCAGACGGCCCTGGGTCTGGTCCTGGCCAGGTTACACAGGGCTGGTTGCAGGGTTGAGGCTGATCTGCTTTAGTGGGGACGGGGCACTGGACGGAGGGGAGGCGTTGTGACCCCGTTTCCGGCGGCAGACCGTGGGGGCTGCCAGAGGCAAGGGGCTGCCGGGCAGAACGAGCGCCCGAGAGGGAAAGCGGCCCTGCTGGGCTCCCCCAGGTGCTGATGCTGCTCCCTGCATGAGACGCCGGCAGAGTCTGGCCCTGCCCGCTCGCCGATGGTGTGGCGGCCACGCGTGGACCTGGCATCGTCCGTCCTCAGGGGTCGGGTGGCACCTCCTGCATGTCCCGCGCCCCGTTTCCTTTGCACAGGTGCATAGGCTCCCCCCCCCCCCGCCCCCACTTCCAAATGAAGGCAGCACGTCTGGAACAGTGGCAGGAGGACGGAGTTCCTTCCATGGTGCTATGAGGGGTGGAATTGGCACCCGCCACTCATTCCCGTTGGAGGGCCCCATCCCAGCACTGGACATGGAGGCTGGCGGAAGGCAGGAGGAGCGGAATGCCCTCATGCTCTCCTTGCCCTCCAGAACACGAAGGCGGCTGGTTTTGGCTGGATGGGTGTTTTCCCCATCTCGTGAGGAGGAGCAGATGAGACGCTGCCAGGAGGGTGGCAGTGCCCCCCCCCCCAATGCCCCCCCCCCCCTGTGGGGGCCAAGGACAGCCCTCCGCCTTCCGGGCCCAGCTAGCCCTGAAGGAACCCCCCCCCAAGCTGCGAGGATGAGGCGAGCCCCCCGCGGCAGGCACCCCGGCTCCTACCTCAGTGTGGGGCTGTCTGAAGTCAGAGCTGCGATTCTGGCCCCTCCTGTGCCCCTGGGCAACACTGGGAGGCCATGAGATGGCACTGTTAGCTAAGCCATTAATCATGTCTATACCCTGACTTTCTGCCAGGAAGGGCACTCGGCCCACTCGGGGGTATCCCAGAACGTTCTGTGCTGATTGGTTGTTCTTTCTCAGAACTGATTGGCAGTGATTTGGTGTAAAGTAACACGGTACTGTCTGTCTGTCCGACGTTGACTGGTAAAAATCTGTTGATCCTATTAGGGGCTGTTTCCTCTTTAATTAAAAGCTTCTTCTTTGTGGATTATACCTCTAATCAGGCCTTGACCATCCTGGTTCCCTTCAGATGTTTGGTACTTCAGCTTCCATGAGACCCCATCAGGAGTGCAGTAGCCCAAACATCTGGCAGTTACTAGTGTGGGCAAGCCTGCTCTAGCTTTTCTGTTCATCGTGGCTGGTGTAACGTCTGGATTCTCACTTAATTGTCCCATAGCTTGCCATGTGCCTTGAGGAGGGGAGGGCTGGGGTTATATTCCGTCTTTTCTCTGTTTTATAAAAAATAGTGCTCTTTGTCGTAAAAGAGAAAAGTGTCCATTACCACCCCCTTTGCAGGGAGCCAATTACTGGGCAATTAAGGGAGAATTCATCAGCAAGGCCCCACCTGCTCTGAACAAGTGAGCAACCACAACTTAAGCGGCTTCTAATTGAAGTTGCGGGGGAGCTTTGAAGTATGGGACTTAACTTGTCCGCAAATGTCATGGAAGGATCTTTGCTGCAAGGGAGTGGTTGGTTAAAGTGCATGGAGTGCCACGTGGATTTGTGCTTTAATTCGTCTTCCAATCAGTTCCTGAAAGTGTAATGCATTAGCATGAAGAATACCTGTGTGGAAGCCTGGGGGAGGGGGGTCAGCCCTGACCCCTTTTGCTGGGCGCCTGTCCATTGCCCTCCAAGTCCGACCCACTCTGCTCTTGCCGACCTCGAGCTTTCTGGCTGAATGGGCGCAGAGGCCGGTCTGCCGGCTTGTGCCTGCGGGGCCTTCCATCTGTCCTCCTGCCCGTGTCTTCCAGCAGATGGCAACACCTTCATCCAGACCAAGTCCTCCTACAGCTCCTCGTCCTCCAAGAAAGTGGGCAGGTGAGTGGGTGCCCCCTCTAACCCCCCCCCCCCCCCCCCCCCCCCGCAGCTCCTGCCTGTCCCCACGGGGCTTGCACCAGGCAGCACCCCTGCCAAAGCTCCCCCTGCCGCTCTTGCTCCTGCTTCCAATTGCCACCACCTTAAGGGCGATTTTAGGATGTCGCTTCCCAGCTGCAGTCCCGTTGTTAAACTGTTCAGACTCTGGGCATGCAGGTTCGAATTCTGAAATGGAAGTGAAAGGGGGCTGTTTGCTCCCAAAACGAGGCATTTTGGCCTCAGGCTGGGGGTTGCTTGTTGGGGGTGGAGCCCCTTCTTGGCCCTTTCCAGTGCAACAGGAAGGAAGCAGGTGTCTGAGGAAAGTGAGCAAGTATTTTGGCCTGCTGCCTTCATTGCTCTCGGCAAATATCAGACCCTCCTTTTTCAGCAGAATCTTTTGCACCTGAAAGAGAAAGGACATGATAGCCAGAGGCTTTTCCGGGGTGCAAAGAAAGCCTGGAGTGGCAGGAGAAGGAGGGCCCTGCAGGTCAAAGCGGGTCCCCGACTCTGCCCTGTGACAAGGCCCGGGCAGGGTCCCCTGGGGCATCTGGGGAACAGCTGTGGAGTTGGGTCGTCTGCTATTTATGCTCCACTTCTAATAAAATGCTCAACTTGGTTTACATAAAAGCTGTACTCACGATAAACTGACCTAAAAATAAGTTAGAAACAAAAAGCGCAGCCGAGCGGCAGAAAGAAACCAACAGAAAGCAAAACATTATAAAGGACATGTGGGAAACAAACATTTTCAGCCAGGAGCGGGAGGAAGCCGGGCAAGCGGCGGCCTGCCCCAGGGATGCTGGGGCCCTGGCCGCTCGGCCCGACGCCCCCTGAAGCCCGCCAGAGCACAGGGCCCAAGGAGGATCCCGTGGCCCCCGTGGCGGAGGGAGCAAGCCCCGCTCCTCCCTTTGCTTTTGGAAGCAGCCCTTCTCTGTGCCAGGCCAAGCAAAACGAGCCCCTGCACGGCTAGCCCTGGGGTGGGGAGCTGTGGGTTTGTGCCGGAAGCCCCCTCCCCCTTGCCCTCCTCCCTTTCTCATCCTGCCTCGCTCTGCCTGCCCACCGCCAGTGTCTTTGAGCGGGAGGACCAGAGCCCCGGGCGGTCCGGCAGCCTGGCCGCGCTGGAGAGGCGCCAGGCCGAGAAGAAGAAGGAGCTGCTGAAGGCGCAGAGCTCGCCCAAGGTGTCGGCTGCGCAGGCGCGCAAGGCCATGATTGAGAAGCTGGAGAAGGAGGCAGGCAGGTGAGGAGGGGGCGTCACGGGGGCGGAAGCTGGGGGCCGCCTTCTGGAGGGGCCGCCGAGGTCCCCCGAGCCGGACGTCACTCGGAGGGACAGAAGCTGCCAAGGAGCAGAGGATGGGCGGGGCTGTCCTTCCACTTCGGGGCGCTGGTGCCCCCCCTTCCCCACTGCAGCCTGCTCCGGCCCAGGTGATGGTGGAGGTGAGGAGGAGCCGCGGCCGTTCCCTGGCCCGGCCCTCTGCCTGCCAAGGGGGTGAGAGGCCGCGGGGCTGGCTGCGCGCCCGGGGCTCCCCTTGTGGGTGGCCCCGGTCGCTCGCTGGCACCTGAGGGCCTGAAGGGGTGCCCGGAACAGGCAGAACGTGGAAGGAGAACCGTGTGTTCCAAGGCGCCAGTGACGGTCTTGCTGTTGGTGAGGGACCAGAGGTCCGAGGGAGCGGGTGGACACGAGCCGCTGTCTTTAGCCCTCGGCCCCTTTCCGGGCCGGGCTCTCGGGGCTGCTTGCCGCGTCTCTGCAGGGCGAGAGCCAGTGCAGAGGCGCGGCTGAGTGGACGCCCCACTGCTTGGGCTACACGCAAAGCCGCCGTCTTTGCCGCAGCCGCACAACTTCCCTGCGCTCGCTCTGAAAGCTGTGGCTGTACTTCGGACAGATTTATGTGCTTGGCTCACGTGTGATTGCCTGTTCTGATGCGATGTTTTGCGTGAGGTCGCTTGAAATGGTTGTTAGTCACAAGCAATAAAAACATCTGACTGTTCCTGGGACTTCATTTGTTAAGGTTGCCCCTAAGCAAGGAACTCTGCCCTCTGAATGGTGCTGGGCTCGTCAATGCATTCTTTTCACTGGCGCCTTGGGATTGCATTTGCTGCTCGGTGCAAAGGACCGTGTGCTGGCTCCTGCCGGGCAGGCTTGCATGCCAGAATCCTCCGGTTTACATACAGAGGAAGGGAGCTGCCGGGGATCCTGCAAGCGCCTGCCCTCCTGCCCTGCGCAAAGGGGCAAATCATGTGGTGCTTCTGCAGTGCCTCCTGCAGAAGATAGATGGCCTGGGCTGGATCATTCTCCTCACGCAGCTGGTCGGCCAGCTGCACAAGGGAAACCCACAACGGGGCGGGGGGGGGGGCAACAGCACCTTCCTGTCCATGTTCCCCAGCAACTGGGGAATGCGGGCATGCTGCCCCAGCAGAGGAGGTAGCCTCGAGTCCTCCGTGGCTCTCCAGGAGTGTGGCTGACCCCTCCTGAAGGCCCTCCAAATGAATGGTTCCTGCGACATCTGGCGAAAACAGATCTCCTTGTTTAGCCGTGCGCAGTGGGAAGAGGTCCTTCCTGTATCTGACCTGACTCCCACGGAGTTCCAGCTCACGGGATGATCCTGGAGTGATGGGAGAGGGAGAGAAGTGCCCCCTTCTCCACACCAGGCCCAACTCTCTCCACCTCGGCCGTGTCTCCCCTTCCTTGCCTCGTTTCTGGGCTAGCGGTTGCAGTCACTGGAACTGCCCCCCTTCGGCACGTCGCTCGGGACCTCGGAGCCCCTTTCTGCCCCGTTTCCCGGCACTGCAGGATCCTCCTGAGGGGCAGGGCAGAGCTGTGGTCACATCGAAGACCTGCAGACAGGCAGTTTTATGTTCAGGCCGAACTCCCACCGCACGGCGGTGCTGTGATCCTGAGCGTCATCTACTCCGTGCCAAAAGAGCGGACGTCTCACGCTGCTGCGATCCAGTTCTTGGGTCAAGAAAGGCTGACTTCAGTGAGCTGCCTAAATTATAGGAGTGAGCCCGCTGGGCCCGCTGCCCGGTCTCTGCATGCCTGATGAACTGCCTCTCTAGTGTCTGAGGTCTAGTAGTCATGCTCTGTATTCCTAATCAAGAGTGCTAACAAGAGCAGCGGAATTCTCTGGAGGCGCCACATTCTGTGGGTTTCTGCTGCCCCACTGAATGGCAGCAGATGGGCAGCCCTGTTAACAGTTCACTGGTATGACATCCAGCTGATCATAAAACGATGCCGAGGTGAAGGATGTGCCCCTTTTTCTTTTTCATTTGTTCCTTGCAGGGCCTTTTTGGTGGCTGCACCTTCAGCGTAGAACTGCTTCCTAAAGGAAACGTGACTGATTCCCTTCTCCACTGACTTTCAGGGGGCTGGTTGTTTTTATCCGCTCAGGTCCCTGTTCATTTCAGTCTTGGTGCTTCTGAATACTTTTAATGCCCTGCTTTAAAATGCCTGGTGCTGTAAACTGGCTGAAAAGGGATATAAAAGAAGTTTCCATACACCAAGCACCAACGGGAAGGGGCTTCTTTCCTCCCTGTTCCTTCCGAGTGAGCCTGTGAGGGTTACCAGGGCTACCAGCTCAGGGGGGCTGGCCCCTCCGGCCAAGGGGGCCTCTGTGGGGCTGGGACACTCACGGTGCTCCGTGTTCCTCCCGCAGCCCTGCAAACCCTGCCGTGTCGCGGGTGGCCGTGCAGCGCTCCGCGAGCTTTGGCGTCCCCAACGCCAACAGCATCAAGCAAATGCTCTTGGACTGGTGCCGTGCCAAGACCCGTGGGTACGAGGTAAGCGGGCATCGGTGCCGCCGTAGGGTTTCCTCTTCCTGCTTCGCCCTCACCTCAGCACCCATTTCTCTCTCCCCTCTGCCACGCCGTCCGTAGCATGTCGACATCCAGAACTTCTCCTCCAGCTGGAGTGACGGAATGGCCTTCTGCGCCCTCGTCCACCACTTCTTCCCGGAGGCCTTCGATTACGCACAGCTCTCACCGCAGGACCGGCGGCGCAACTTTGAGATGGCCTTCTCCTCCGCAGAGTATGTATTTCTCCGCCTGGGGGCTGGTTCTCTCTCTGGGGGCAGGCCAGGGTTTGTCGGGGAGTGGGCTGCGGGCCCCCAGCCCGGGCTCCTCTCGCACGGCTGGACAGGGCGTGCAGCTCTGGGCACAACCCGCTGTTCTAGCAAGGAAACCCGAGCTGCAGACAAAACCAGCTCTGTTGTTTTGTGGGATTCTTCAGAGTTGTTGCATATTATCTTGCCTTACCAGCCAGGAGGAGGGGAAGGCACAGTGCGGGGCACACACAGCTTGGTCAGCCACCCCTTTAGCTCCTGCGACGGCAGCAGGAGTGACCCACACCTATTCAAACAACCCATGGCGACCATACAAGACATATTTTTAAAAACAGCCAGTGTAATGGCTTCAATGGCTGCACACAACAGCCGTCTTCCAAATGAACGAAATAACAAACAATAAGGGCTAGAAACTTGTTTGGTGCTTGAAAAGAAAAGGAGGCCAGGATTCTAAGGAAGCCAACCCCCCAGAAATCCCTGCAGCTTCCCTGCTCTCCTGCTCAGTCACACCCAGCAGATGTCCGTGCGCATGCGCAGTGGGACGCGGGACGCCTGCTCGGCAGGGCCGTGGGTGGGCTGGCAGTTTGCAGTGGGGAGCCCCCTTGCACACAGAGGCCGTCCCCAGCATTGCGATTCATCGGGTTCATCTGCTATACTTGCCCGGCGCGTGAGGTTGCTTTCGTGCACGTGGGGGGGGGGGCCGGGGGGGGCTATTTATATGCCCCCGAAGGTCTTCCCTGAAGGGCAACACAGTTGCTTTGCCTGGTGGGACACGCTGTGCTGCGAGCCGAGCTGAGCCTCTGAGGGAGGGGCAGCAGCAGACGGCTCGCTTCTGTCGGGCCTGGGCCTGGCTTGGCAGCCCCATGGCTTCCTGAGCTTGCCCTTGCCGGGCGCTGCCCTGGGAGCGGGTCCAGCCGAAGGGCACGGGGAAAAGCCCTTCCCCTCCTCTGCCTTCTCCTGCCTCTCTTGCCCGACACGTTCTGCCCTCCACGCATGGGGGTGGCGTCCCCCCAGGCCGGAGGGCGATGGGGGGTCCCTTCTGAGCAGTGCTGGGCAACCCCACCCCCCGCAAACAAGCGCAGCTCATTGCTGGCACCCCCTCAGCTCTGGTGCTCTCGGCACGAGTCCTGGGCTGATGGCACCAGTGACCCACCAGAGAGGCCAGGCACGGCTCAAGCCACGCTTGTGGGTCCAGCCCGTGAGCTGCGTGCCCACGGCGAGCGTCCCGGCCAGCTTCAGCGCTGTTGAACGGGAAATGCAGAGAGAGCTGAAGCCCCAGGGTGCCCCGAGTGCGGCTCCCACCCTGCAGAGAAACGCAACCCCCCCTCCCTTTTCATGGCGGCTGCTGATGGGGAGCAGGTGCAGGCGGCCCTGGGAGCTGGAATGGCTTGCCGGGGTCGGGAGCCCGGGAGTCCACACTGCCCGGCAGTCCTCAAGTCCCTTGTCTGTGTGGCTTGCTCTCCTGGGGGCACAACTCGGCCAAGGGGACCGGACTCCTGTCCTCCGGACATGGGCAAGCCTCAGCCCAGCGGAAGGGCCCCTTCTTGGCCCACAAGAAGCCGCAGGTCCGGTCCCCAGACATCGCCTGCTACGACCGAGAAAGCCTCTTCTCTGTGCTTTCAGCCCCAGAGAAATGCTAGAGGAGCGTGTCGATCCAGGCGGGGGGGGGGGCACTGCGAGGCCCGCCGGCTCTGGGCAGCCTAGCGCCCGGTGGCTGTAGCTGGCTCGTCCGGCAGCTTCTCCCCTCCCTGCAGCCGGCATTCCAAGCCAGCTCCAGCTCCGGCCGCTCCCGGTTCCAGGAGCCCTTCCCTGGCATGTTTGTCCTCTTGCAGATTGACTGCTAGGGTCGGTTTTATCACCTAGAGCAGCCGTGTCGGTGTGGCCCCCCCAGCCCCCCCCAGCGAATGAGAACCTCTCTGGCCCTCCGCTGCCCCGGGCGAGGGTGGGCAGGTGGGGGTCCTCTCCCTTTCACTGCGCTGCCCTGCGGCTTCCTGCCAGCCAGCCAGCTGCAGCGTTGGGCCGGCCGGGCCGGGGGAGGGAAGGGGCTTCCGCGCTGTCTCTCCGGCCTGCAGGGCTGCGTGCGCCAGGGACTCCTCCTCCCTCTCGGCCGGGAACCCGGTGCGTGGAGCCTGAGCGCCCCGGCCCCTCCTTCCACGGCCCGGACTCCAGGTGCCTTCCTGGCTGCTTCAGCCTCCCTTCGTGTCCCCCGCCTCGGCTTCAGGCACCCCCGCTGTGCCGTGGCACAATTCCAAGGGGGCGCAGGATGGGGCGGGCAGAGCGGCGGCCCCATCCCTTCTCCGTATGCACCCATACGGAGGCCAGCCCCACCTTGGAATGCGTGCAAGAGCAAGCGCACCACCCTCCCCCGCCCTGTCCGTCTTCCCTTCCTTCCCACCTGTCTGTCTGTCCTTGCCGGAACAGCTAGATGCCCCTGCACCCGTTTGCGCCCTCACCCCCCGCCCCAGCCGCACGCCCAGCCTCACGTGTATGAGGAATGAGCCCCGGTGTGCGCAGCTGCCCCCCCCCCATATGCACGGCATGCCAGCGCACGTGTGTGAACCTGACACAGGGAATGTGAACTGGATTGATGCATCTCTTGTGTTTCTCCCTCCTGTCTCTGCCCCCCTCTCCACCCTCCCCCCGTCTGTCCGGGCTGTGTTCACTGCTTCCCCCCCGCCCCCAGGACACGCGCAGAGTGCCCGCAGCTGCTGGACGTGGAGGACATGGTCCGGATGAGGGAGCCCGACTGGAAGTGCGTGTACACGTACATCCAGGAGTTCTATCGCTGCCTGGTCCAGCGGGGGCTGGTAAAAACCAAAAAGTCCTAACCCCCCTGTCCTTGGAGCTGTGGTGAGAATCCTCTTCTTTCGTTGTGCGTTTGGGGGGCGGGGGGGCACGTGCGCCCGTGTGCCGAACAGCCCTGCACCGCCTCTGGCCCACCCCCTTCCGAGCGCGCGGCCCAGCCTTCGCATGGCCCTCGGTGCGGAGCCCCCGAGTTCCACGGCAGCCTCGCGTGTGCCTGAAGCGCATTGGCCACGCTTTCCTCGGAGCCCTTGCTTCGGGGGAGCTTAAGCGCTGCTCCTCGTGAGGCAGCTGAGGGTCGTGGAGGACTGGTCCTCGCAGCACAGCCCTCGGCTCCCGTGTCGCTCGCTCGCTCGCTCGCTCCGGCGGCCGGGCTGCAGAGCCAGAAGCGGTCCAGGTGATGGAGAGCATCTCCTCCTCGGCTCGCCTTTGTTTGCTTGCTCTGCCCATATAAGCCTCGGAGGAGCCTGGAAAAAGTGACTCAGGCTGCCCTTGTTAACGTCTCCGGCTCCCCTTCCCCGGAGCCGCGTCCTCCTGGGACGCTCGGAGCGCGGCACGCGGCACGGGCTAAACAGAGGCTTTATAAGGGCAGCCCGGCCGACTCTTGGGGCTCACCCAGGTTTTTCCATCTCCAAGACAGCCCGCAAAGGGGAGCCCATCAATTACCTCTCGCCCCCGCCACCCCCCCCCCCAGCGTAGATATGACTCTGGGATAAGGGCTGGCAGGGTGGAAAACCCCGAGCGTGAAGGGGGAGCGGTGGGTGCCGGGCGGAGCGGCTGCGCTTGATCTGGGTCCAGCGAAGACGAGCGGGAGGAGGATGAGTTTGGAGAGCTTTTGCGCAGGAGGTGCCCTGCACAAGTGGGGGACTGAGGCCCCCTGGAGGCTGTGGGGGGACAAGTCCCATCACCCTCACCCATTGCCCGTGGCAGCTCGGGGATACTGGGAGTTGCAGTCCAGCACATCTGGAGCTTCCCAGCTTGGGAGAGGGTAGTCCTGGAGGGTCACGGGCTGCTCCTGGGTCGTCCTTAGGTGAACAGGCCCGCTGTCTCTCTTCCCTCCCTGGCCAGCCCCCAAGCACCGCCCCAGCAGCCCTAGTAGGTCGCTGGCTTGCCTCTGGCCAGGGGTGACTTTGGGGTCACTGCCAGCCCTCCCACTCCCTGGAAATGATCCGAATGAGCAGCCTAATTCTGCCAGGGCGAGGTTGGTGTGCCTGGCACAGCGCAGAGCCATTGACTGCCACATCCTCCCTTCTGAGCGAGGCGCTTCTGCACTCCGGGGCGGCCAGAGGGGCCTCTGCTCCCCCTTCTTCCTCACTGCTGTTTGCTGCAGTGGGGAGAGAAAGGGGGCAGGCTGGGAAACATCATGCATTTTTAAAGAAGGCATTGTTAATTTTAAAAAGTTATAATTACCAAGCTGCTCTTAAAGAATAATTAGGTTAATATTAAATCCAAATCAAAGCATGTTAATCCTACAGCTAATCTTTCAACTCAATCACTTCTCCTAATTGGATACATGGAGTTAAAAGAGGGTTTTCCATGTAACTAATAAACCTGTTGGGTTATATCTCAAATATGAACATTTTTACTCAGCCTACAAGAGTTTCTTTTTCACCTGGTGAAAATAAACTGCTTCCCAAGCGGGCTTTTGCTGAGCCATTGCTCTGCCTCATTCAGGGAGCTTTACAGGGGATCAAAAGCTTGTCTGTACAAATGTACCCCAACATTCCTTCTGTCACTTCTTTTCTTATAAGAGAAAAAATATATTAAGGAATAGCTGCACAAGTTATTTTATTGGTTGACAAACTGAGGCTTCTAGAAACTGCCAGATCTTCCTTGGACCCTACGTACTTGGAGGTATTTTTCACGGGGAGCAAGGCAGAGTGAAGCAGAAGGCAGCAAAACTGGGAGGGCGAAGGCAAAATGTTCGTTGTGCAGCTTCCTGTAATGTCACACTTAATACACTGGCAGGACTGCTAGTTTTGGGAAAGGCCCTATATAGGAATGTTTCAAATACCTATTCTGAAAGAGATAATAGGTTTAAAAAGCGACCCTTGGTTGGCAAAACCAGACTATCCTGGGTTTCTTCGCTGTGTGCAGTGGCCGAAGCTCCCTGGGTGGTTCATGAGCATGGCGTGGCCTGTCCGCGCTGGAGCATTGGTGGGAAACGCGCTTTAAGCCGGCCTTGTGTCCTTGCCGATTTAAACCATGCGCTTCTGGTTGCACTTCCTAGCCCCGCATGTGCCGCGGTCCATGCCCTGTGGCCGCAGGCATGTCTGTGAGGAACAGGCACTGGGCCGCTCCTGGGCAGTTTTGGTTTGGTGATCATTCTTCCACAAGTCCCTCAAAGGCTGTCACAAAGAGGAAGGTCAAGATCCCTTCCGGCTGGTGCCAGAGCGGAGGACAGGGAATGATGAATTCAAGTTGTGACAACCCGGCTTCAGGCGGGACATCAGGAAGAGCTTCCTCTCTGTCAGAGCAATATGACAGTGGATCCAGCTGCCTGGAGAGGTGGTAGCTCTCCCACACTGGAGACATTCAAGGCGAAACTGGGCAGCCATCTGAGCGGGATGGTGTAAACTGGTGTCCTGCAACAGCAGGGGGTGGACTCGATGGCCTTCATGGCCCCTTCCAACTCTGCTATTCTGTGATCTATGATAATTATTTCAGGGCTGGGGCAGGTAGGGGGTGCCGAGGGGTCAAGAAGGCTCCACACCTGTGTAAATGGAAGCGCGGCCTACCGCTCCCTCTTCTCCAGCCAGGGGCACTAGCTGTGGAGCGTCCACCTTTTCTGTGCAAACATGCAGGCCGTTGCACCTTACGAGGCTTTTTGTAATACAGTGTGGCAGTCCAGGAATTACCGGCAGAGAATCCCCTCTCCAGCGGCAAGTGTTCTGAGCACAGTCATGGGACGGTGGAGCTGGAGTGGCAGAGTGGCCCCACATACTTCCTTTTAAAATTGTAGTTCAGCTCGCTCTCTTTGAAGAAAATAACCCACAGTACTGAGCCTCAGCGCTGAGCCTGCCACCACTTTTGAACCAGGCGCCTGCTCCGCTTCTCCTGGCTCTGCATCTCACTCCTTCCATGGTCCTGTGGACCAGAGTCGCCTTGGTGTGGGACAGCCTCCCAGGCCTTTGCTGATCAGACCTCTTGGGGCTTCCTCTTTCAAATGCCATGAAATGCGCTCCTTGCAGGGACAAGGATTGTTTCTGGAGTTTGCGCACAGGCCTGGGGATGGGGGGAGGTGTCTGTGCCCCCTTTGGGGATGGCTGATACTGGCTGCCGTGATGACAGCTCGTGGCGCATGTGTGTGTGTGTGTGTGGGGGGGGGTCCTGGGAAGTGTAGAGTAGCGAGCCCCACTGTATTCTTGGGGAGCAAAAAAATGGCATTGCCATTTCAGGAAACGCTGACGGTAGTTTTGTTACGTCTGTATCTGCTTTCCCCAACCTGGTGCAGGGGCTGAACTTGATTAGGATGGCAGGAAATGAGGGCTGCCCCACCTCTGTTTTGGCAAAAGCTACCCAGGCCTTTGAAAGCACCGCTGGCCCAGGACTGGCATCGCTCCTGCCACGAATATGGCAGTGGGGGGTCCGGGGGAATACCCGGGACCGCCAAGCCGGGCCCTTGTTTGCAGAGCAGGTTGTGGCTCACGCATGGCCCAGGTTTCTTGGGACTCGGCTGCTCTCGTGAACCTGGCCGGGCTGGACTGGGACCACTGCCCACCCCAGCATCACACCGGGCAGGGCCAGTGGCGCCCCAGAGCACAGGTGCCAAGCGGGGGTTGCTTAGCTCAGAGAAGGGCAAGGAGGGGAGACGAGGGGCGCGAATGGCAGTGCCCAGTGCGGAGAAAGTGGGGAGGGACGGACTCTGCTCCCTCTGCCACAACACACCCCACGGATCACCCCATGGAGCTGGTTACTGGGAGGCCCAGGACAGATCGGGGCGGGGGGGGGTTGTGACGCGGCGCGTAGGTAAACTGGAATCCGCTACCACGGGAAGTGGTGGTGGCCTTAAAAGGGGACCGGGCGGCTTCATGGAGGAGGCGGCTGTCGGTGGCTACTAGCCTTGCTGGCCACGGGCTCCTCCTCCGCAGGGGCAGCCTGCCTGCACACAGCAGCTGCTGAGGGGCTGGGCGAGAGCAGCTCTGCCGGCCTGGATGGGCCTTGGCTCCTTGTGCCCTTACCTTCCGGCATTTACCTCCTGCATTGGTACCTGCTTTTCAGAGGAGAGGTGGCCTTGCCACAAATGCAAAAGATGGGCTTGCGAAGGGGAGGGGCACGGGGAGGAAGGAAGAGGAGGGAGGCCATTTGCCAGCCCAGGTGCGGGGTGGGGGGGCTCCCGGAGGGCCCAGAAATGCATTTGGCCAGGCCCGTTTCCCCTTGCTGGTTCCCACTGGAGTAGCAGCGCTGGCTTTGGTCCTTCATGTCCCGCGGCAGTGGGGAAAGCCGCATCTCCCCCTGCCGAGGCCGTTTGGTCCCCTGTGGTGCAAAGGGAAGACCCTCCACCCCCTCGCTAGCTCAGGTGGGCACAGCCAGTGGTGCGGGGAGCCGGGCGCCCAGGGCCACAGCCCAGCCCTTTCCAGCAGTGGGGATGCTCCCCCCCCACCCGCCGAACTCGCTCTCACCTGGGAGCTGCGCTGCAGCCCTTGCAGGAGTTGGGGGAAATGGGTTTTCCTGGCGCCATCAGGTGGTTTCCTCTTGCAATGCCCAGTGTCGCAGCCCAGCTGGCAGCACAGACGAGGCCAGCCCCTGAGTGGAGGGGGAAGCTGCCAGGGACCCCTTCGCACCTACTCCTGCAGGGCCCACTGCACTGAGCCCCTGCGCTGGAGCAGCAGCTCCTTCGGCCCCGGACACAATCCCCCGTGAGCTCCCGAGGAGGCCCTGCGGAGGAAGCAGGGGGGCGGCTGGCGGTAGGATCGGGCCCGTCTGGTGGCGGGGCATCGCCGTGCGCCCCCTGGCCGCCCCACCCCGCCCCTGAGCGCGCTCTGCCTTTGACAGGTTGCTCGTGGACTGCGTGCCGCTGGTGGACGTGGAAGACATGATGATCATGGGGAAGCGTCCGGATGCCAAGTGCGTCTTCACCTACGTGCAGTCCCTGTACAACCACCTGCGGCGCCATGAGCTCCGGATGCGGCAGCAGCACTTCTAGCCTTCCTCCCCGCCCTCCCGGGGCTGCATCTTCTCCCAGGAGCCCCCCCCCCCGGAACATCTGGCCTGGCCTTGGCGGGGGCGGCTTCACCCCCTTACCCCACGCCACCCCGCACTCCTCCCACCTCCCCTCTGGAAAGTCCCCGCTCGCGAGGGGGGCAGCACCCCCTGCTGCAGCAGGCTGGGCAGTTGGCAATTCAGGCTTGCTCGAAGGGGGTGGCCAAGAGTGTGCCCCCAGGAGGAGGCCAGGCCCTCGGCCTCCTCTCTCCACACGTGCTTTTTGTAAGGTTGTTGCTGTTCTTGTTGTTTCCTGTAAGTTATTCCTTTTTTAAGAAACGGCTCCTTGTCGCCGGCACAGAACTGCTCCTCCCTCCCCACCTGGCACGACAGAGGCGCCCAGCACGGCGCAGCGGGATGTGTGAGGCTCAGCCGCCGCCTTGGCTCCCCCCACCTGGGGCTTCCAGGCATGTTGGACCCCCCGGGTTGCAGCTCCACCCATCGGGGGGCCCCGGTGGGGAAAGCAGTGCTGGACCGTGGGCACTCGGGATGCTCTGCTGCGCTCGGTATGAGCTTCCACCTGCTGTAGGTGGCCTTGGGGGCCTGAAGCTGCCTGGGGCGCGGCCACAGAGAAGGGGGCCAGCCAGCCGCAAGGGACAGGTGGACAGCCCAGGCAGCTCCCAGAGACACCTGCGCTTCTCCTGGCCGCGACTGCACCTGCCACGGAGGAAGCATACAAATATTTTTGAGATAAGGGGGGGGGGGCTCTTGGTGCCCAGGGCCAATGAGTTTCTGACCACTGCTCCCAGGCTGGCGGCCACCTCTGCGGCCTCAGACAGTGGCCTTGTTTCTCAGCCCAGCTTGGCTGATCGGCAGGCCTTGAACCTGTGACCTTCTGCATGCAAAGTGCCAGTTTTGCGCCACGGCCGAGCCGTCCTTCCCTGGCCCCCTTGCAGGAGAGGCCCCCGCCTGGCCTCCCACAGAGGGGGGAGCTAGCCAGATGCAGGCTGCACCCGTGGAGCTGCCCCGCCCCCCTTTGCGCACCGCGAGGGTGTCACGGCTGGGCCGGCATGTGGCCCGGGCTTGATTTAGCGGGGCAATTCCTTTGCACCCTTGGCACTTTGCAGCCTGTGCCGCCTCCGGGCCACGAAAGGGAGCCGCTGGGGAGGCGGAGTGGTCCAGCGCCGAGGCCTGCAATCCTCGTGGGTGCCAGGAGCTCGCCTGGGAGTGCGTAAGCCGGGGGGGTGCCCAGCCCGCACGGGCTGAACTGGCCTCCCTGGGTCTCGCTGAGGCTGCGAAAGCAGCAGGGGAAGGAGAGGACTGCTTCGAGCCAAACGCGCTCCTCGCTGCACAGGGATGGTGAAAGGCGCATTCTGCACGGACTCGGGGATGCTCTTCCGGCACATCGTTCCAGCAAACGCACTGCTCGTGCATTGCCATTGCCGGGCCCTGAACCCCCAGCGGGTCCCAGCGCATTGCCCCTCTCGTGCACAGAGGGCACAGCAGGGCTTCTGCGCATAGCTTGCGTGGCTGCCCCGGCCACCTGCCAGCGACCATTCTGCTCCGCATGCCCGGCTGCCGGGCACGGGCGACTTTTGTCCCCGGAGCATGGCCGTCTTCCTCAGGGATGCGCCATTCCATAGGGTCCCCAAGGGAGCAGGTGGGCATGACTGGACTCTGGGGGGGGGGGGGTGCCCAGGCGAAGGGGTCGGTCTCCTTCCCGCACCGCTCGGCCACACGCTGGATTTGTAACTGTTCTGACACCAAGCACAAGAGACTGTATCGGCACCAGCACAACAATAAAGTTTGGATAGGCTGCTTCTCCGGTCTGCTTTCTGCCACAAGCTCTTCTCCCACCCGAGGGAGCAGCCCTCCCTTCTGCGGCCGAGGGGCAGAATCAAGCCGCCAGACCTGCCCTGGGCCGTGCCACTTCAGGCTCACAGAAGGGGTGACGTCCGTGCCTTGGACCCCCGCCCCCCGGCCAAAGGAGCTCCTGGTTTGTGGAAGAGCGTGTCGGGAGAGGGCAAGGCCGGGCTCCGGGCTCCTCGTGGCCACAGCACCCTCCCGAGCCTGCCCTGCGCCAGGTGTGCTGCAGCTGCTGCACTGCATTGCTGAGCCCACTTTTCCCCTCTTGGGAGGAACCTGCACGGGCTTACCTGGCTCCAAGGCATCACAACAATCCTGTGAGGTAGGTTTGGCTGAGAGTGTGTGACCGGCCGAGTCACCCTGCCAGCTGAGTGGGGACTAGAGCCCGGGACTTTGTCCCCAGTTCAGCCCTCTGGTATCTGGAAGGCAGTCGGCTGGGGAAGGCTGCTGGCGTCTTCCCCGTAATGAGCAATCCGAAACGCCATCTCCCTGGGGTCCTGGCAGGGCTGTCCCTGCCGCCTCGCTGTTGCACCTGGGCTCCCCCCGCCATGCAAAGACAACATTCCCCAGAAGGGCGCTGCAGGGCCTGGCTCCCTTTGCTTGACTTCATCCCACGTCCCTTCGCCCACGCCAGCCAGGCCTTCCCTGCCCTCCCAGACTGGCTTTGGTGAGGGCGCAGGGAAAGGAGCCCCATCACGGCCAGGAGGTGCCCCCTGTGCGCTCGGAGGGCTCACGTGAGAACTGGCAGGGCAGCAGCGCTGGGCTTGGCAACTGTCAACCAGCGCCTGCAAGGGAGCCAGCGTGGGATGCTCGGCCACCATTCCCCGTTCCCATGCGCTGACCTTGAGGGGCTGCAGCAGCTCTCCCGCCGGGGCACCATGCAAGGGGCTGCCCTGGCCATGCGGGCTGGGGGGAGGGGCCGCAGCAGCCGGCTCTGTGGAGGGCTCCCCAGTGGGAAAGCTGGTCGAACAGCTCATGGATCTAAGCACCCCAAACCCCAAAAAGGCGGCACGGACACGCAGAAGCACAATGGATGACTGGTTTTACTGGGCTTGGTTTGGTGATGCACAGTCAATGAAGGCTTGGCCCCTGAAGCGTTTTCCAGGCAGCTGTCCTCCCAAGCCTGCTGAGACATTGCTCATCCACCCTCGGCACCAAGAGCTTTCAACAGAGGGCTTCATGCTGTCCCATGCGGATGAGGGTACCGCTGCGGGAAATCTACGGGGACTCCTTCTGGACGCAGGGCGGGTGTGCTGGCCGACGAGGCCGGTGCGCAAGCCAGTGGGCTTCTCGGGATCTGCAGGCCCCTGACCCAGCACAGCTCAGCAGACCAGCCACAGAACAATCAACGGCAGGACCTGGCTCACCCAGGGCCAGCTTGGTCTCACAGGAATTGGGGCTGCCTGCTTATTGTGCCCGGAACATGGGTGCGCCTTCTTGCATGTGGCTTTTAGGCCCATTCCCTGGACAACAGGCACTCTGCACTGTTTTGAAAGTAAAATGGCTTCTGCCATCCGCATAAGTATGAATAATGCCCAGTTCCTTTGATTTTGCACATTATCTGTTCCCTTGTTATTCTGCTGGCACCTGGGACTGAAGAGCTGAAGATCCACACTCGGCCCACTGCAAATCTTCTGGCCTCTTGAGACGACTGACCTGCATCATCTAGATGCGTACTTTTGTGACCATGAGGACTAGAAATTTGCCTTAAAGGCAAGAAAGATTCTGTAGACTCTGCCATGTACACATTCATCTCTCTGCTCTTGGCACCAACTGCATTCAGCCCATGGTGCTTTGTGCATGGCAGGATCTGTTGTGCTATGATGTGTGTAAGCCATGGGAGACCAGAATAGCCCCCAAACGTGGTAAAGACGAAAGAATCCACCGCTTAGGCTTTTAAGCAAGTTTCTGTCCCTCATGGTTACAAAGATATACTGGAAAGCATCCAAATCAGGATGGGCAACTTGCGGCCTTCTGCAAGGCTCGGCCTCACCCCGGCTGCGCTGAGTGGGGCTGATGAGCGGTGGCCTCCAGATGTTGTGGCCCACCAGCTGCCCATCCTGGCTAAGATGATGCCCTGACAGTGGTTGCAAGAGGCGGCGTTCTTGTCAGGCGTACTGAGGTGGCATGCCCACATGCTGCAGTTTTCGGGATCACCCGAACCTAAAGTTCGCCGCCCTTGGTCCCTTTTCCGCTGGCGGCATGCTCACTCCCAGGTTCCTTGGAGGGAGGTCGGGCAGGGGCAAACTGGAACTCCTTGGGGACAGGTGAATCAGGGGCCTCCTTCCGGTAAAATCCCAGCTCTCGCACCAACTTGTTGATGTCTTCCCGGGTCATCTCGGTCAGTGGGATTCTCTGCAAAACCCAGCCCCAAAAGAGCCGCTGACCAGACTGGACTTGACCCTCGGCCCATGAGCACAAACGGCAGCGAGCCGGGCTGACTGGCTCCAGGGCGGCTCTCGGCGGCTACGCCAGGTGCTTTATCTGCACCTCTGCACCCGCTCTGCCCCTCACCCTCCAACGCCTGGCTGCAACTTTACAGCGGGACTCCAGGGGAGAAGCCCGCTTAAAGCTGTGCGGCACCTTAGAGGCAGCCGCCGTGGACTGGGGATGCATCCTGCGCTTTGGCAGGCACCAGCGCCGCAGCTCCCAGTGTCCTATGCACCCCGGCCGCCCCAGCACCCTTGCTGTTGTTGCAAGCCATGGGGCGGGGGAGGGGGGAGGGGGGAGGGACGTTGCGGGTGGGGGCTTTGCTTCAGGGCACGCTGGCCTGAAGGTACAGTGGGGTGCAAGGCCTCTCCCGCCAGCCAGACTCCCAGCCGGCCACGGGCTCCAGCACTGCCCGCCACCGAGCGGTGGAGGTTAAGCAGCCCCCCTGCATGCCCGTGCACAGGCGGTCAGTTCACAGCCAGGCAGACCCACAGCAGAGGGGACGCCACAGAACATTTCAAGGGGGCAGCCAGCCCTGTCTTCACTCCAAACTGGGCTAGTTCAGTGGCTGCAAAATGCTGAGGGGGGGGGGGGGGGGCTTCCCGAAAGAGGCGCATCCTCTGTGCCACATTTTGTCACAGACCTCGCCCCTCGCACAGCCGCAACCTGCCGGGATGGTGCTGAGCTCCCACGGCCGCAGGCTAAACTCGTGCAGTGCAAGCGCCCAGGGCTCACTCACCTCCAGCTCATCATACTTGAAATTGAGCAGCACCAGCTCGGGGTCGGCTCCAGCAAGGTGTTTCATGACAAGGTTGTGGCTACGGGCGGCTGTTAAGGAACTCAGCAGGACCTGTCAGAGCCTGACTTCTCCGGCACAGCCGGAGAATCTGGTGCAGGTGAAAAAGCCAGGAGGCGTCTCCAGACACAGGAGCGGAGCCAGGACGTAGGCATGGCCTGGGGAGAGGTCCCCTTTCGTATCATGGATCTTTTTGGCACGAGGTGCTATCCTGTCCTTTCATTTAAAAAGGGCCCTGCTGGATCAGGCCAAGTGCCCACCTTGCTTCCCAGTGGCCAGCCAAGGGGGCAGTCCCAGAGCAACTTGCAGGGCAAAGCCCCTCTCCAGGGTGTGCCTGTGAAAGTGCCAGCCTGCTGCTTCTGAGCTGCAGTGCAGCATAAGCCATCGGGCTTGTCCCAAGCACGTGATCCCCACAGATGTGCCCAGTTCCCTTTCACAGCCATCCAAGCTGGCTGCTGTTGCCACATCCTGTGGAAGTGAGTTCCGTAAGTCCCGGATGCCCCCTTGTAGCAAAGTACTTCCTTGCTCCTAAATGTGCCACTTATTCAGTGGTGCTTCAGTTTTAGCCTCCTCACAAAAGGAAAAGGACTTCGCTTTCTCTACTAAGTGAGGAGTAACTTTCTTAACTTTCTATGCCTCCCTTTTCCCTTTTGGGATCCATACCCAACATGGCATTCTGTGTTTGCATTTAAAAGCAGACAGCCCTTGGGGCACGTTTTCCAAACAGAGAGGGCTCCTTTGGGAGGTCCTCTCTGCTCTTTACCAGCATCCGGTAATTCCTCTGGAGTCACTGACTCCATCCCTGTGAAAGGCCCAGTCTGTCTCCACAATGTGCAGGTCTGATCGGCATCCGTTAATTCTAGTTTCTATACGCGTGTGGTGGCTCAGTTTGTACTGACAGCCAGAAGTGGCAGGTCACACCTGCGCATGAATTTCACATAACCAGCACACGCGCTCGGGGCGCCACTCTCGGAAGTTAGCACCATGTCTGCTGGGCCAGCTTTTCCCAACCCGGTGCTGTCCAGATGTTTTGAATGCCAATCCCTACCATCCCTGGCCATGCTGGCTGAGAATGATGGGAACTGTAATCCAACATATTGGGGACCAGCACAGCAGGGGGAACAATGGAATACAGTGGCACACACACCTCCATCTCACGCTGAAAATGTTCTCTCGAGGGTGCAAACAACACCCTCTCCTAGACCGACCTGGGCAGAAAGCACGTTGAAAGTGTGAGAAAAGCTCTGCTGGGCCAGAGTAAGGGTCGCTCCAGCCCAGCGTTCGGTTCAGCCAGTGGCCAAGCAGCTGCCCAAAGGAACCCACAAACGGGACATGGGTGCAACCGCACCCCCCACCTCATCCCCCAGAAATTGTTCCATGTGGGAATCCCACCTCCGATCCTGGAGGTCATGCAGAGCCGAGAAGAATCCTGGAAGCTCCTGCGGCTGGCCTCCTCCTCCCGGAATGTCAAGCCCCTTGAAAGCCTCCCACACTGTGGCCGTCACTGCACCACGCGGAAGTGGATTCCATAGTTTAGCCACGTGCCGTCGACGGCGGACTTCCCTTTCTCTGTCTCAGATCTCCTGCCATTTAGCTGCATGGGATGACCCTGCTGGGTTCCAGTACTAAGGGCAAGGGAGACCAGTGTCTCTCCCCCACCCACCTTACCATGCTTAATTTGGTCCACCTCTATCATGCCTCCCCTTGTCTTTTTTTCTAGGCAAAACGATCCCAGCTGTTGTAAGCTTTTATGAGGAAGCTGCTCCAATCCCTCCATCATTTCTGTTGCCCTTCTCTGCACGTTTCCCAGCTCTACAATATCCCTTTTTAGGGCACCAGAGCGTCACGCCGCATTCTAGGTGCAGTCGCACCGTAGATTTTTACCAGGGCCCTGTGACGTTGGCGGTTTTGTTTTCAGGTCCTTTTGCATCACGCCCAGCACAGACTTGGCCTCCCTCACCGCAGATGTGCGCTGTGTGAGCACTTTCATCGAGCTGCCACCTGGGCGCCAGGATCTCTTCCTTGCTCAGTCACTGCTCTTCTGAGCTAATGCTGCTTCTGATCAACTCCAGAAAAATCCCACTAATTTTCCCCACAGAGAAATCAGTCAGCATAAATCAGCCTCAAGCATGGAAGCACCGTTTGGCCTCAATACCCGCCCCTCCCCCCCCCCCCCATAACAGGCTTGCATTCTGGATGGAAAGGGCCTCCTTCTCCTTTCTAGCTTAGGTCTTGCACGGAGCACAAAAAAGGATACTAGAGAGGGAGGTCTTCTGTGATGAAGGCCTTCACCTGGTCAAGGAAGAGGCGGAGGTTAGACATGAAGCCTCACCGTGCAGCCCACCACTTATTCCTTTGCCTGGACAACTCCAAGCACTGCACAAATCACATCACGCAAAGCTCCCGAGGGAAAAGCTGCTGCTCTCTGGCCGAGAACACGTATGGTCAGAGCAATCCTACACGTGCCCGAGGAGAAGCAAGCCCCACTTTCTTCGATGGAGTTCCCTCTTGACCTCTGCGGAGATTCCTTCTGAACGGACACGCGCCGGTTAGTGAGTCCGGCAGGAGCAGGTGACCGGCAGCACTCAGACGAACTGCAAAAGCCCCGGACGGGCGGTCAGCTCAGATCTGCAGGCACGTCACCCCAAGGAAGGAGGGGCAGTGGTGGCCAAGTGGCCATGGGTAGAAACTGAAACACGGTAGCAGCTCTGCTACCAGAGTTTCCACCTCCCACTCCATGCTGGGGCTTGAGGATGCTAATACCGGCCTACCTGACCGGGTCACTGTACGGCCACACTAACCGATACACGGGCACTGAACACATAGCAACATTCGAAATCTTGACCTCTGTTTGCATTGCAAATGGCGGCTGAAGGAAGATTTGGACTGGGGCCACACCTGGAAGGTGGGAGGCACAAATATTCTGCTGCCCCACAGGCTGACCATCTGGTCGGGGGGGGGGGGGGCTCTGGGGCCCTGAATCTTAGTCCCTGGCAACAGGCAGAAGCCTCGTCACGCCTTTGCCCAGACTGTGCTTACCTCCTTCAGGCGGTCCAGCCGTCATCCACCGCAGGACTGGGGGAGGGGAGAGCAGAGCACAGAATCAGTGTGGTGCCTGCACACCACCCAGTGGCCACCCCACCCCACCCCACCCGCCCACCGGGGGGCACTTCCTGCAAAGCTATTCCGACGATGCCCTCCGCTCGAAGGGCTCTGGCCGGCCCTTTGTGCAGGCTCAACGGGGTCCTGCGGCATCCCCCCCGCATCCTGCCTGGGTCCCCGACCAGCACGACGAGACCAGCTGGGGAACAGCCTTGCAGGCGGAGAGGTGGGCTTGGGCTGCTGTTGGCCAGTTGAAGGAGCGCCTCACTCATGGCGCCCGACACCTTTGTAGGAAGAACATTTCCACGGGACACCGTGGCCGTGCTAATGCCAAGGCCGTGCTGTTCCGTCACCACTAGCTAACCTCTAGCCTGGTGCCCTCTGGGCCTGACGGACTACAACTCCCATCAGCACCAGTTCTACTCTTCTGGAGGTACTAGGATGGGGAAGATGGGTCTAGAGCAGCTTTCCCCCTTCTGGCACCCCCCAGGTGTGCTGAACGGCGATGTGAATTGCTGGCTGGGGATGATGGTGTCGGAGCCCCGTCCCCTCCAGGTTGGGGAGGCTGCTCTAAGCGCTCACACACACGCAGGCAGAAGTGTGGGCCCTTTGCAGCAGCTCTGCTTCGGTGCCTGTTATCCAGAGGCGAGGTGTCCCTGGACACGGCCCTCCGGTGCGTCTTGCTGCCCGGCGGGGTGAGCGAGAGGGTGGCTGTGCACAAGGGCCGACTGGCCTGGCTGAGGGATGTGTCTTCAGCACCGTCCCACTGCAGCCCGGCTGCTCAGGCCACCCCCACTTGTCCTGAATTGGCCCTGCCTCGGGATTCATGCTGCATTGCAGCTTCTCTGCTGATGTGGGGCCCCATGACAGTCCCACAGGTACATGCAACCTCCAACCCCATGGCTGTTCAGGGAACCTCTGAGCGATTTGCAAAGATGACTGTAGTTCTCTCTGCTCGTCCCTGAAGGGCAGATCCCTCAGCTTGCCCTAACCTGCCGCAGCAGCGGAACAGCCATGGCCACCTGTGCCCAGACCGACCGGCAGAAGTAAACACCCAGCCCAGGCAAAGGCCGAGTTGCCCCCGATCAGGGCACCAAGCGGCAAACGGTTCGCAGGTGGCTTGGACCTGCACAGCCCTGGCTGGAACGTAAACACCGCCATTGAAAAGCCTCCGGGGAGATGTGCAAAGCAAAGCACTTTGAGGAGCACCTGAGGTCTTATTAAGAAGCTTCCAGGTTCAAACCAACAGGGTGATCCGAATCTGATTTCCCACAGGGGCCGACCAGATGCTTAAGGGCACAATTCTGTGCATGCTCAGACAGAAAAGTGGCCTGCGACATCCAGCATTCCCTAGCGGGCTGTGCAACAACGGGAACTGTACGATTTTTCCCCATGTAAACATGTGCGGGACTAAATAAAGGCCACAGGATAGCAACCCCATCTCTCCCGCCTTTCCAGCAACTGGGATTCACAGAATAAGCCATGATGGGGTCACAGCTGTTGAATATTCAAGCCCCAACTGGGGCCTCTTGGGTTATCTGAATCTGAGAACTGGCCTTTTATTTAGCTATCTTGGCTCATAGCTGCCTGCAGAACAGAGGGAGACAGGACCTCATCTCTCCCAGTCCACTAGCTCGAATTAGGGCTGAAAAGCACACGCACTCGGCCCCAGTGTGTTCTGTGAACATATCTGAGAGCACCAAGAGAGCCGGAAGTCCCTTGAGGGCTGCGTGTTGCTTTCCATGACCATTTGGTCCTCTCTCTCCCACTCAGCCCCTCTGTTTGCCATCCAACACCCCGGCTTCTGGTCCCCACGCCAGCTTTTCTGATCGCCCACTGCTTCTGCTCCCTGGATTCATTCCCTGCACTCTGCTTCCCCCAAATACCCCATGCCAGCAAGTCCACCCTCACCTGCTCATGGCCGCACGTCTCCTGCACCCGTTCCTGATCAGTCTGTCCTTTTCAACGGGCAGGGTTCGGACAGGGGGGCTTTCACTTCTGGAGTAAAAGACTTCTGAAGCGCCCCGGAATAGGAGAGGCTGCTCTCGGCCTCAGCTGTTCTTACACCCCGTCACCCAAGGCTGGCCATGAGAAGCGAGGGCTTCTGATGGCAATGGCGGGGGGGGGGTGCAGTGGCTGCTCCTTCAATCAGTTCACTCTCTTGGAGGACAAAGTGGGGGGGAGGGCACAAGACGTGCTTTGCTCCTCTTAGACTGGCTGGCTGCCTGTGCTGAGGAAGATCCAGCTGCCAGGGAGTCGCCTTCTGCCACCCCAACCCAATCGTGAGACGAGCCTCCGGTCGGCCTGATCTGGCACTCCAGGGAGGCAGCTGCTGGGAGCACGCCAGCCCCTTCGAGCACCGAAGCCTTGGCTTTCAGGGGGGAGTGCTCGGATGGAGGGCTGCTCAGGCCGAACTTCCCTCTTCCTGCAGAGAACCCAAAGCTGCAGAAACATTCCTCCACTCCCCCTTGTCCTCACAACAGACCTGTGAGGGAGGTTAGCCTGAGAGTCGCTGCCTGGCTCAAAGTCACCCCATGTGCTACGTGGGGATTTGAACCCGGGTCTCCCCAGTCCCCACCCAAGACTGTGACTGGGTGGGGCTTGCATGGCTTGGTTTCCAAAGTTTCCCAGCCACCTAAAAAAAAGAACCACCCCCTTTAGTGGCCCGTTTCCCAGCTGCTTCTTAGCTATCTGCAGAGCAGCCCTGCAAGGCCGAGAGGCGCCCACCCACTCGCAGCCCTCCAGCCCCACGGCAGGAAGGGAACCTGGGCATGCACTGGCCGTCCGATAACTGAATAACGGAGGCTGAAGAGAATCGCTGGAAACTTTACCTACGTGACTGGAAGCAAGTCGTGGCTGAACCGAAGGAGTGGCGGGGGGCGTCCCTCTGGGCCGGCAAAGGGGCAGTTGGGGCAGTTGGGGCAGCTGGGCTCATCTGACCCGCCACAACAAAAAGCAATCTGCACATCCTCCGAGGCATCCCGCCCATTCCGCGCCTCCCGCACAAACGCACCCCACGGGGCCAGGCAGAAGGCCACCAGCTCCCATCTGCCTCCGTGCTTGCTGACCCCCCCACAACCTCCCCGCAACCTGGGGGCGTCCTCACCTCCACTTTGCCCCGCGCCAGCCCCTCCAGACGGCGCCAGTCGATCTCGTAGGCGCTCAGCGGCCCCAGTCCCAGCGCCGTCAGCACCAGCAGCAGCGGCGCCCAGCGGGGCAGCCGGACTCCTGCCATCGCGCCGCTCCGAGGCCGCACCGTCGAGCAACTGAATGCGCGGCGGCTGCGCGGCGGCTCCTCCTCCGCCGCCGCCGCCGCCGCCGCCTTTCTGGAGCCGCCCGCTGCTGCCACGTCAGCTCGGGCGGAGCCGCGGGGAAGGCGAGGCCGAGTCGGCGCCCGAGGCCCCGCACTCGCCGCTCCGCGCCCGCCCTCCAGGGGTGGGGTCCGGGGAGGCGCCGCCGGCCGGGCAGCGCGTCCACGCCAGCCTCGGCTCGGCTCGGCTCGGGGCGTGACTGAAGGCCGCGAGGGGACGTGCCGCGCAAGGCAGGTCACCCGCGCGGATGCGTCCTGGTGGTGATGGGGAGGCCTGCTCCAAGTGTCCGCTAGATGCGCTGGGCTGCAATGGTAGTGTAGTGTAGTGGAATGCATCTGGAGTGTCATGCATCTGGAGGGCACCAGCTTGGGGAAAGCTGTGATCCAGTCACCCTGGTGTGCATGTCGCTGCAGCGCTGAGGCTGCCCTGCTTTGGACGCATCGCGGGAGGGCGAGGCTCTCTGGAGAAGGCCGCCCTGCTGGGGAAGGGCGAGTGTGGGGTGGACTGAATGTGCAGCGGAAGCCGCAGCCTCCAGCCAGGGAGAGCTGAAGGGGGCTGCCACGGACCAGACAGGCCGGAGGGCTTTCCTTTATGCAGCGCATAACGGCAGCGGGATGCTGGAGCGCCTGCCCTGGCCAGGTGCCGCTGGACACGGGCCGGAGCCTTCGCACCCCAAGGGCCAAGTGCGATTTCAGAGCAGTTCTCTGGGATGCATTCCAGGCGGGAGCAATGGCAACCAGAGCAGGGCCAAAACACAAAAGCACCACCCCAGATGTGCTGGGAACTCACTGCTGGAGGCTCAGCCTTGAGAGAAGTGTTTTAGCGGTTCGGAGCAGCCCTGCAGAAGAGCAGGATTCCCACTGAGGGCCAGAAGCCTTTCCCTCAGCTTTGTGGCTGACCAAGGCCCAGGAGGGCCCTTCTGAGTCGCTCTGTTTCTATGCTTCCGTGTTTCTACTCGAGACCAAGGGAGGGATGCCTCCCTTTTGCAGTTTGTTGCAGGTCTCTGCTAAAGCAAGAATCCGGGTCACCCGGACTCTGGCTTTGCAATGCAGGTGCCCTGCCTGTGGACACTGAAGGGCAGCAGTGGACTGGGCCCAGGTGCTGAACACGGAGGCATCTTCCAGAATCAGTCCCGGAGCTGGACGGTCAGCAGATCGAACCAAGGAGGTTCTTCTGGAGCCTCCGTGTGGGCACGCTGGGGGGCTCAGGGAAATCCGCTTCACTGGGAAGGGGGGTCTTCCTCTCAGGACCAGTGCCGGAGCATCTTTTTCAGCAAGAGGGAGAGCCTGACGCACGCACTTGGAGGGACTCCCACAAGGGGACACGCCACATAATTGCTCTTGCTAATGCTGCTTCAACGGCGGGATGCGCCCTCCTCCAAGGATCCAGAAGGACTGCAGAGAAGCCCGACGCAAGGAACTTGCCATGTCTCAGGGTGAGGGCGGCAAATCCGGCCCTTCGAGTCAATGCCTAGGCAGAACTAAGCACGCAAAAGCGGGTGGGGAACCACCCATTGACCCTGCCCCATCGACCCTGTCGTGGTGAGCAGGATCCCCCCCGCCCTCTCCGCATGCTCAGTCCACCAGTCAACAATCGGCAGGACTGCTTAGCACTAGCCCTGGGAATGCTCGTCCCCGGAATTCGGAATTCGTCCTGGAGAAGAGCGCACCCTGTGCCCTCCCTCGCTGCTGACAACAGCAAGCGCCAGCAGAGCTCTGATCAGGGAACGAGGGAGGGACGGGATGTCCTCTCAATTAGTCACAGGTTGGTCTCACTGTGAAAATGCCAGGAAGATCTCATGAGGTGATCAAAGCACTACCAGGAGAGCAAAGTGTGTCCTTTTTCATGTACAGATGTTCTAGGCCAAGTCAGAACACCCAGGTGTTTGCCACTTGGCGCATGCATCCCATGGGCGGTGCGAAAGCTCGTGCCACCCACAAACGCACCTGTGAGGTGCCACCAGGCCCCCCGTGGCCCTGCCTGCAGGAGATGATCTCTGAGGCTTCCCTCCCCTTTTCCAAAGCAGCCGTCCACCCCTGTGAGGAATAGCCCGGACCCCCCATTTCTCACCCCCATTTTAGTGAAGCTCACCCACCCCTTCTCCAACCTCCCTTTCCATGTGTCAGTGAAAAATCGCAGTAGCAGAGGGGAGACGTGCACACATAACCACTTTGTCACTTGATCGAGGGGCAAAATTCAGAGACATTCCAGAGACATTTAAAATGAGCCATTCACTAGAGACATCCAGAAAGTGACTGGACAGCCCTCTGAGTGGGATGGTGTAACGCGGTGTCCTGCAACAGCAGGGGGCTGGACTCGATGGCCTTCATGGCCCCTTCCAGCTCCTCTATGATTCTACCCAAAGCCCCCAAATTTGAAGGCATGACCCAAGCCTAGAAACAGGGACCCAGCCTTTGCAGGGTCTTGTGATGCTTTAGTCATTAAATCAAGCTCTCCCATGCCCGTTCCCTCCGGATGTGTCAGACGGCCGAGCCAGCAGAGCCAATGGGAACGGGGAGGTGGTGAGGCGTGGCGTCCCACACATCAGGTGGGAGGGCCTGCGACAAGGCGGCGCAAGGTTCCTGCGTGAGGAAGCTGGGGTGTCGCCAGTGTGACCCTTCATGGCCTCTAGGCTGTGCAGAACAGCAGGAGATGCATCTGCATTATGATTATGGCTATTCATTTCATTTCTGTTCCATCCCATAGCTGGAACTCTTCAGGTGCTCTACAACATTATATAAAACAAAGCAGTAAAACAACAGAAAACTACACTGTTAACGTAATTTACATTATTTTAAAATATATTAGAATACAATAAAAAGACCTGGCAAGAAGCAGCAGGACTAAGATAATTTCCTCAGGCACCTGGGCAACCAAGGTGATCTTTAAAGGCCTCCACATGGAGGGCTGTGTTGACCTGGTGCCAAAAGGATGGCAGGTTTGCTGCCAGGTGGGCTGCAGCGGGGAGGCTGTTCAAAGGACGGGGGTCCGCCACTGGCGTGGTTCCAATCTCCAGTGTGGTTTGGGCAACTGGTTTCATATACTATGTGTGTTTGTTTATCATGTTTCTATCCTGCCTTTTTCTTTCAAAGAATGCAAGATGGTTTGCATAATTCTTGCATAATATCATACGTGAAAGCTTGGCTGTGATCTCAAGGAAATAGCCCTTCAAATACAAATTGCAATTGAAAAGCATACCAACAATGAAGAGCAGGCACCACTGCTTTACAACTCGTTTGTAATTTCTGTATTTGTATAGTTTATACTGTTCACTCCTGTGAGATGAGGTGCCCACTGACCCCAAAACATGGAGGACCCTGTGGCAGCTGCTGCGGGCCAACACAGCTGCGGAGGTTTTCTCGGGCACTCGCTCCCCGGCCCACGTGCCTTGCTCCGGGGAACTCTGTCGATGCCACTGGCTGCACACCTGGGCTCCCAGTGGCAGCCCTGATCCCCTCAGCTCAGAGACCTGGCGGGCCGGCCGCTCCCTGGGAACGAACAGCCGAAGGCGGTGTTGTTCTGGCGGGCTGGGGGCAGGCCAGCTCCCCACTCCGCCTGGCGTTGTTTGCCACAGCCTTCCTGCCTTTGGAAAAGCAGCAGCTGCTTCTGGCGTCGCACGGCAAGGCACAGGCGCACTGCCAGCCGGCAGACCCGGGAAGGAGCCTTGCCAGCAATTTCAGTGCCAGGGCAGGTTTCCAGCCCTGTGTGCCCTTCTTGGGAGTAGAGGAGCACAGCACTGTTAAAAACCTGCCTGGGAGGTACGTGAGGCTGGGGCTGATGGGCACTGCAGTCCAACCCACCAGGTCAGGAAAGGCTGTGACAGGTGCAGTTGTGGCGAGGTTCAGCACAGGCTCCCTCAGCCTGGCGTGACGGGTGAACATCTGGAGGCAGATGCATGCTCCCGTCCGCTGCTGCTGCTGCTTCCCACAGGATTCAGCGGCTGGATGTGGTGCGCTGGGCTTGGCTGCGGGCACAGGAGCGGAGGGGCCCCCCTCACCCAGCCTGGTACTCTGCTTTCAATCTACTGCAGGAGTGGAGAACACCCAGCGGCTGGGGCCTGCATTAACTCTCGGCTCCCCCAGTTCACGGGGGAACGCAAGCTTCGAAAACTGGCCTTTGTGCTCTTTGCAGAACAGAAGAGGAGAGACCCTCGCGCTAGCCTAAGAGGGGCCAATGCATTGCACACCCTTTGAGGCGTATCCTGCTCCTCCAGGCTGCGTCCTGCAGCAGGGCCCCGTCACCCCATCCAAGCTGCACCACCCATGCAAAGCAGGGATGCTGCGAGGTCCCAGGAGGACCTGGGGCCCAGGCCCAGAGGGCAAAACAGAAAATACAGCAGCAACAGGAATGCCAATATGCAGTGCGGGGCTCCTTATGTGCTAAAGCTGCTCTCTGCGTGGGTGCCTTTAAAGAATGCTGCCTCCCAAGGACACTCCTGTCTGGAAAAGGATGCCTGGAGAGTGGGGAGGAGAACACCAAGTCCAGGAAAAAGGCCTCAGGTAGGGAGACTCCAGGTGTGCATCACGCCCACCACTCCAGGCAGATCAGGTGCAGCTGAGCTTCAGGCCCCCTGCCCTTTTATTCCAGCAAGTGCCCCTGGACAACACGGTGGTGGGGCTGCTGGCTTCCCAAAAACATGGGGCCTCGAGTGACGGAGCCAGGGCTCCAGCCCTTGTGATCCATCTGCTAGCATTGCCTCGGATCCAAAGGAAGCTTATGCTAATGCACAAAGGGCAGTAAAAGTCGTGTTCAGGGCAAATTAATGGAGGGTTGTGATCCATGCTAGTCGGTGGGAGCAGAAAGGGCCACAGTGCCTTGCTTTGTGGGAGGTGCCTCATTCCTGAAAGTCATGGGGTCAAGATAGCCAGCCCTGCAGTTAAATCTATCTAGTGTGAATTCCTCCTGGCCAGCTGCCCCTACTGGGCCTCTGAGCAAGCTGGAAATTTGCTTTCATAGTTT